GTTCCTCACTCGCTCAAGTCTAGGATTAGGAAAGAAGTGCATGTTTATACAGATGCCTCAGAGAAGGCAATTGCTGCAGTGGCATACCTGCGGACCACAAGCACGGGGATGGACACTCATGTCGGGTTCATCTTAGGAAAGGCCAAAGTTGCCCCATCTCATGGTCATACCACTCCACGTCAAGAGTTGTGCACTGCAGTACTTGGAGTCAATGTTGCTTCTCTTGTTTGCAAAAGTTTGGACATACAGACAGACACAGTTTGCTACCATACAGATAGTCGTATCGTCCTTGGATACATACGCACCCAAACCAAACGATTCTCAGTTTACGTCAGCAACAGAGTATCTCACATTAGGAAACTGTCGAGACCGGAACAATGGAACTATGTTCCCACCGAAACTAACCCTGCAGACCAAGGGACAAGATAGGTTCCTGCTTACTTATTGGGAGAGAGCACTTGTATTAAAGGCCCTTCACAGCTCGTTAAGGGTCAGCAACTTGAAGAAAAAGTCTCCCACCAGTCTATCCCAGGAAAGGATCCAGAGCTTGTATCAGATGTAAATGTCCTCACCACTCGAGCTGCAGAGGGTGGTCACTCACTTGAATCTCATAGGTTCGCATGATTCTCAAGCTGGAACAGACTCATCAAGACTATGGCTTGTCTTAGGCAGCTGGCACTTCACCTTCAAAGAAGTGAACACAGTACCCAAGATTCATGTGTTGGAATCGTAGCCCGAAAGTCTTGTGCAAGAGCTCAGTGTTTCGTTATTCAGCAGATTCAATTTGAAGTGTATAAAAAAGAGATCAATTGTCTCAAGTCCAAGACTGCATTGCCTAAGGACAGTCATATACTAAGACTTTCTCCTGTTCTTGACAAAGATGGCATGCTCAGGATGGGAGGTCGTCCGCAATATGCAGATATTGTCGCAAACCAGAAAACTCCTCTCATTCTACTGGGAAAGCATCATGCTACTACTCTACTTGTTCGTCACTTTCATGAAAATGTGAGACACCAGGGTCGTCATCTAACAGAAGGTGTATTCAGATCAGGTGGGTTTTGGATAGCTGGTGGAAAGCGTGTGATAAACTCTCTTATTCACAAGTGCATCAAATGTCGTAAACTTAGGGGTAAAGGTGAATATCAAAAGATGTCAGATCTGCCACCTGATCACTTGACTCCCAGCCCTCCTTTTACCTGTGTCGGTGTGCACACCTTTGGACTATTGTGTCAAGGAAAACAAGAGGCCGACAGGCACACAACAAAAGATGGGCTATAATGTTTTTGTGTCTTGTGACAAGAGCTATCCACATCGAGGTAATCGAGAATATGGGCTCATCTGCCTTTATCAATGCTCTCAGGCGTTTTATGAGCTTTAGGGGCAATGTAAAACAATTCAGATCAGACCATGGTACAAACTTCATCGTGCGACTGATATCTTGAAGTGGATGCATTGAATGTTGAGGACCAAAGTTTTCAGGGATTTCTCAGTGATAGTCGAACAGAGTGGATCTTCAACACCCCATATTCCTCACAAATGGGAGGAGTATGGGAGCACATGATTGGGCTGACACGGCGGATTTTGGACTCCATGTTAGATGATATGACGCAGAAGGAACTAACACATGAGGTTTTGACCATGTTCATAGCTGAGGTGTGTGCAATCATCTACGTGGGTCCTATTGTACCCGTTTCTTCTGACCCTAATGATCCCTTTATTCTTACACCTGCCACCCTTTTTACTCAGAAAACTGATCATGTCACAGACTCTATGGAGACAATGGATATTAAGGACATGTACAGAGCTAAGTGGAAGAGGGTGCAAGTGCTGTCTGACACATTTTGGCATCGCTGGAAACATGATTATCTTCACACCATGCAACCAAGAAGGAAATGGACGGAGGATAGGCCAAACATTTGTGCTGGAGATTTTGTTCTTCTGAGAGAAAAGAACATTGCCAGGAATGAGTGGCCTGTAGGACTGGTAGAACGATGTATTCCAAGCTTGGACAACAAAGTGAGAAAAGCTATTGTGCGTGTGGTGCAACAAAGCAAAGTATCAACTTACACTCGTCCCATATCTGAGATGGTGGTCTTGTTGCCGTCAGAGGATAGGATCATGTGAAAAATGATATGTGACATTAACTGTTGCTTAGTGGACGTAGTGCTAGTTATCTCAATGATATTATCATTGACAACCCCGGGAACATTTGTTAACATTTTGTATAAGCATCATTTCAGTTAATGTGTTTGGTATTTCTATTGACTTTTCACAATGTCATTAGTAGTGACATCTAAGTTTAGATATCAGACAGGGAGTAACAAGTTATTTTTATTCACTCACTCCTTTTTAGCGGTATGCATGTGCACTCTTCTGTGTGGAGTTATCTTTTCTTGTGTTCATGTGCAAAATGGTCTCCGAGCAGGCCATGTGTTTGGATTCTCACCCGGTTTCGTTAGGTGATAAACCTCGCAAGCCGTAGGCAATCATAGTGTGAGTAATGTCATTACTGTACTACCATTATGCATATGCTCTTGTCAAATCTGACTTCTCATTCACTGTTGTGTATTATCTTAATGATGTTCGGTAATCTATGTATAGACTCTCACATCTCGACATTCCCTTTCACATGCATACGCAATATAGAATATTGACATTGTAGTTATTGGCTGTTTTGTTTGTTTCAGCCATTTACCCTGTACAAGAGTCGAGAACACGAAATACAACCAAAGTTATGCCAGTAACTCGAGTTTATCGTTTCTTGAGGCTCCCGACCCGTGGTTATCTAAACCGCCAGATCCCCTCCAGGGGGGAGATGGAACAATGCCTAAACATAATTCCATATGGAATCGTTATGAAAACTTCACACTTCGATCTTAGGTCACCGTAACACGTCTTGTGACTGTTCACACAAATTACTGCACAGATTTTATCTCATCCAACTAGTTACAATATAGTTACAGATGACCTTCCTCGGAGCGGTCATCCTAGGGTCACCACACCTCGACAAGATCGGCAGATTACCCGTCAACACCAGCGACATCCGTTCCTAACTGCAAGTGAAAGTCCTCGACAGACCATAGAAACACATAATCGACACATTAGCAGGGACACTCAACCTCAGATGTCGCCGGCCAGCACGTTGTCCTGTTCTCCAACCACGCCATCAACAAGCACGACTTCTGTGGGCACAGGGTCATCACAATTGGCGTCATCGTGAGTGGAGGCATGTCATCTTCTCTGATGAAAGTCGCTTTTGTGTCTACCATGCAGACAGAAGAGTCAGAATTTGGCGGCGTCGAGGTGATCGTTTTGCTGACAGAAACATTGTGGAAAGGGATCCATGGGGTGGACCTAGCGTGATGATATGGGCAGGGATTGGACTTAATGCGAGACTTGGACCCATGTGCTTTCTGAATGTTGGTCAAGGTCGGGGACTTGGCGTCACTGCTCAGCGGTATATTGACCAAGTGATCAGGTCCACATTGTTCCATTTTTTGCACAACATCAACAACACATTTTCCAGCAGGACAACGCTCGTCCCCATGTTGCCAGAGCTACCATGGCCTTTCTGCAACAACACAACATCCGTGTTCTACCGTGGCCAGCCCTCAGCCCTGATCTGAACCCCATCGAACACAGTTTTAGTGGAATCCTATGTCTACTGGACAATTGTTTTCTCAACATGCTCAATATGGATAGTAACTGATGTGATGTAGATATTTTGCTGGGGATTTTGACAATTCTACAAGTCATGACTGCGGAAGAATTCAGTTAACTCACATACGAGGGTAATGAACTCAGTATGGTCATCTGATATTTTTTTGCCATCATTGCTGAAGTATCTCATTTGGTGGACAAGTTTCTTGAAGTGCTTTTCATTTGTTTCCAAGCTCTTCTTATCCCTAGCCTCAAGTTTTGTGGACACAGACGGCCCACAGACCATGGTGGCTTACATCCAGAGACCTGGGGGAACGAGGTCGATTGATTTTGTGAGCGAGACATTACATTTGTTTGCCTGGATAGACTCAACCAGCTGCAGATTGAGACAGAACTAACAAAGAGAACTCACCGTACTGTTCAGCCACAAAGAGGGAGTGAGGAGCATGGGATGTGAAGATCAGATCAGTCTCACTATTGACAGGTAATGTGTCACTGTCCGTGAGAGGAGTAAGACGGCTGTTGGGTCAGCCCAGGATTGCCTACTCACACCTGGTGTGGACTTCATTGTCAGTTGGGTAGGAGTTAGAACTGGACTGGGCAGGTCCATTCATGACATTTTACCAACCACTGGAATGGGACCCAGTCTTGTGTTTACCCCTAATCATAATCTACAGGGCATGAGCATGAGTCATGGTAGTCATCTTATTTTGAGAAGATTCTCGGTGACCTCCAAAGAATGTCATGGCCACCAGAAACTTAACTGTCAAAACATTGAATATTTAATTTATGATTCTTAAAACATTTTCATTGATAAATAACGTAAACACTTCCTTCTTACTTGCCACTTACAATTTGTCAAGGTCATATCAAATGTCATTCACACATTTATAGACTTACAAACAGTAATGCAGACTTTATGTAAATATGTGCTACGGTAACATTACAATGGTTTCAATTTGAAATTTTCTTGCATTTGGGCATGCATTTTCTCAAAACAGAAGTTAACTGTAATTGATCAGACAACTTCTTCTTTTCTCTAACCAGTGTACTGCAAAAGATAACATCTAGGATCAATAATGAATATAGATACATATTGCTGAGGCCATCTATCACCTAATTTGGTAAAGTGAAATGGTGGAAAACTTTTGGGGTATTCAGGAAAAGGCGGTGAGGGGAACGCTTCTGTTTTGCAGGATTTTCCTTTCTTGTTTTTGATATGAACTATCAAAAACAAACAGTATCCATAACCTGAGATTACACTTGAACATTGTGCTGTTATATTTGTTTATGGAATGACATTAATTTGAGCTTATGTTTTGACATGTGGATGTTTGTAGAAGACCAGTATCTGTGATTCCAGTTGTGAGTTCTTCTACCAAAAGCTAAAGGAAAGGAAAGGAAAGGAAAACATGATTGGTGAGTAGAGAAGTATTTTGCTTGTGCACATGTTTGTGTGATAATTACTAAAAATACAAAACCTCTATTACGTCAGTGCCAGAAATAATGTATTATTGCATCAAATTTTCAACAGATATCCTCTTCACTGTCAAGTGCCCATAACTAAACTGGGCGGCAAAAGAAAGTATACCGGAAGGTCGAGTTCCATGATTGACAAAAAAATAACAAAAAGAGGTTTTGTTGTGAATTATAATATAATCTAGGGAGGGGTAAAAAATGATTGATCAACCACAGTTTGAATGAAATTGTGCAATCACAGGTAATGTAAGCTCAAGATAAACAATGGTGGGGTAAGAAATTTCATTTTCAATAGTTGCCGGAAATGTCACCAAAATTGTCAGACACATTACAAGTTCATTGTCGACACAGTTGCCTTCAATAGCATGTATGACCTCCAGCTGCCTCAATGCATGCTGTGATATGCCGCCTCATCGATGACGTCAGTCTTCTGATGACATGGACTGGAATCTGTTGCCACTCGTCTATCAGGGCCTGCTACAATTCTTGTCTGTTGACTGGAGGCTGATGGCATGCTCTAATCTGTCTGTCAAGATGATCCCACAGATGTTCAATAGGATTCATATCGGGTGAGTGGGCAGGCCAGGGCAAAACGTCAACGTTCTGCTGGTTTAAAAAGTTCCAAGTCAGTCTTGCAGTATGGGGCCTGGCATTGTGGTGTTGAAACAATGTCCCCTGCTGTTGGTTTTGTAAGAACAGAAGCACAACTGGCTGCAACACTTGGTCACAAATACCGCCCCACACCATGACACCTCCCCCGCCGAATGGATGGACCTCTCGAATACACGCCTGAGCCAAACGTTCCCCTCTGCATTGATAAACTCGTTCTCTGCAGTCATTTCGAAACAAGTTAAACCGACTTTCATCAGTAAACAGCACTCGACGCCAATTTCTCACTTGCCAGCGTCAAACCTGCCTCGCCCATCGCAGTCTCAGGCGTCGATGTTGAGCAGTCAGTACCATTCCTCGGAAAGGACGATACGCTTGGATTCCAGCAGCACGAAGTCGTCGTAGTACTGTACGTTGGCTAATGGGATGTCCCAATACTGTTGCTGCCGTTGCCGTTGCCGTCGCTGTTACAAATCTGTTTCGTAGGTGAATGAGCCGTATCTGACCGTCTTCCAGTGGTGTTGTCACTCGGGGTCGTCCGGTTCTAGGCCTGTCCTGTGTCGTCCCTGTCTGCCTGTACCGTTGAATCAGCCTGGCTATTGTCAATGGTGTCCAACCAAACCTTCTGGCAATTTGGACCTGTATTGCCCCCATTTCGGCCATACTGATGGCTCTCTCTCTCTGCTCCTGTGACTGTCGTAGCATTTCTTTTGTTTGCTTTCATCACGTGTGGTTATACCCTGCAGACGAACGCATTTATACAGCTAACATGCACATGCAGTTTGTGCCATAGACTGGAAACCTGTTTCACCTTTTTTTGGCACCACACGGTGGCGTGTTCGGGTGAGGTGTTTTTAGGTACCTGTTCCTGGGCAGTCATATTCCCAATACCCACTTTCCACTAGTTATCGCTGTTTTTAGGAAAATTACAAATTGCCAACCTTTTCCCGCTTAGTTTAGTTGTGACACTAATAGTAACTTCCTTCCTTAGACTCTCAAGCATGCCAAAACTGGAAGTCCTCACTTCTTCTTGTGTGTGCCATCCCAGTGACCATCCCAACATTATGAGAAAGTTTTCTTGGCCAGTGGGACACATCACGGGAAGCATGTCACGTCATGGACGAATGCCTCAGAGTTGCAATGAGCAACACGACAACGAAGTGCACAGTGTATTACGTCATTACGTCATGCTAGCGATGTTATTATATGGGTTATTATCCCCCGCCACAAAGTGGAAGGGGGATATAGGAATGGGTGCTGTCCGGCCGTCACATTTCGTTTCCGGAGCAGATCTTGAAAACCGTACCATATTTCTTCACCAAACTTGGCACATAGATAGATCTAGTGGTGAACTAGTGCCTTTTGATAGTTTGGGATTTAAAAAAAAATTTTTTTTCGAGTTTCCATGGCAACGACTTTGATTTAGACTGAAAATAGCGGTAGTCCTCGTTTCCGGAGCAGATCTTGAAAATCGTACCATATTTCTTCACCAAACTGAGCACATAGATAGATCTAGTGGTGAACTAGTGACTTTTGATAGTTTGGGATTTAAAAAAAAATTATTTTTCGAGTTTCCATGGCAATGACTTTGATTTAGACTGAAAATACCGGTATTCCTCGTTTCTGGAGCAGATCTTGAAAACCGTACCATATTTCTTCACCAAACTTGGCACATAGATAGATCTAGTGGTGAACTAGTGCCTTTTGATAGTTTGGGATTTTAAAAAAAATTATTTTTCGAGTTTCCATGGCAACGACTTTGATTTAGACTGAAAATAGCGGTAGTCCTCGTTCCCGGAGCAGATCTTGAAAACCGTACCATATTTCTTCACCATATTTTGCACATTGATGGGTCTAGTGGTGAACTGGTGCCTTTTGGTAGTTTGGAAATTTTTTTTAAAGTTATTTTTCGAGTTTCCATGGCAACGACTTTGATCTAGACTGAAAATGGCGGTAGTCCTCGTTTCCGGAGCTGATCTTGAAAAATGTACTATATTTCTTTACAAAAAGGCCCAGTGAACATAGTGCACAGGAGCTTATGCATTGCACACACCCGACATGTCATATTGGCGGGGGATGTGAGTATTTCATGCTTGTTTTGTGTTGGCCTTGTAAAAGGTTTTTAAGTATTAATTGACTATAGTCTGGAAGTTAATTTAAGGTAATGACGTTTACTACAATATCTGAAAACTATTGGACCTACTCCAGTCAAAGTTGGTATGAGATTATTAAACAGTCATACATAACTGGATATTACATTTAAAGATAATCGGTGCATGAATAAAAAATCGGTCTCTTTAGCTATCACTATATATCATCAACAATCAGACCTGTTTGTCACGGGTGGAACGAGCATTCATTGCAACAGCCATCTGCATAATGCTACCCCTGTGTCACAGGGCCATATGACACAGTTGAACCAATCAACTCTACTCGAAAGGTTGCACGGGAATCATGCACTAGCACTAGCTGTTAGCATTAGATTTCATGATGTCTCAGCGCAAGCATCTTTCTGCTGATGCGAAAGGTTTCGTTGTTAAAATATTTGAATACTTTAAGGCTGAAAGTGAAAGACGTTCGCCCTTCTTTGACATTTCAAAGTACATGAAAAGAACAATTCATGCGTCCCAGCTTCCAAAACAAACCGTAGTTAAGATTTTGAACTCTCATAAAAACACATGCTCCCCTGCACATCCCTTAGGGGGCATCTCAAAACAGGATAGGAAATTAAAGTTAGATTCCTTTGATAAGAAAGTTGTCAGGGACGTGATTCGGCGGTTAACACGAGAAAATGAATTTATTTCAACACTAAAACTAAAACAAATTCTCCTAACAAATCATGACTTAGATATTTCCAAATGGACCATTTGTAAACTCCTTTCCAAATTTGGATATCAGTACAAAATGACGAAAGGGTCGAAACTAGCAATGTGTGAACGACCAGATATCATTCTATTTCAACACTAAAACTAAAACAAATTCTCCTTACAGATCATGACTTAGATATTTCCAAATGGACCATTTGTAAACTCCTTTCCAAATTTGGATATCAGTACAAAAAGACGAAAGGGTCGAAACTAGCAATGTGTGAATGACCAGATATCATTCGTTTGTGTGAGACGCCCAACGCTATCACCGTATTCGTGTGTGCGTGATTCCCGTGCAACCTTTCGAGTTGAGTTGATTGGTTCAACTGTGTCAGATGGCCCTGTGATGCAAGGGTAGCATTATGCAGATGGCTGTTACAATGAATGCTCGTTCCACCCGTGACGAACAGGTGTGGTTGTTGATGAAATATAGTAATAGCTAAATAGACCGATTTTTTATTCATGCACCGATTATCTTTAAATGTAATATCCAGTTATGTATGACTGTTTAATAATCTCATACCAACTTTGACTGGTGTAGGTCCAATAGTTTTTCAGATATTGTAGTAAACGTCATTACCTTAAATTAACTTCCAGACTATTCCTAAACAACATGTTTCCAATTATCACTTGACTACCTAAACTACATGTTTCCAAGTATTAATTTACTACCTAAACTGTATGTTTCCAAGCCAGATTTATATACCTATGCTGCTACTACAGAGGGAATTTTTTATCTGAAAATGATGATGTGATTCAACAACACATACCATTATTTTGAACAAAGTGATATTTACTAGAGCACATATTTTGTTAGGGCTACCCAAGTTTCGGATATTTTTTTTTTCTTCGAGTCAAAAAAACGTGTCCTCCAGTATCTACAAAATAGGCAGGTCTAGACAGCAATGTATAGCAAACTACAATCCCAATACTACGAAGAAAAAGCTAGCATGCAAACCCAAAATAAAAGCAACAAGCACGAAGAATTTCCATTTAAACATTTGGTAGCCCAAAGTATATAGAGCAACAAATTTCGAGCACACACAATGGAGCAAAAAACAATGGAGGCAACATACCAATGTATGGGCCTATGAGCCACAAAATCTGTAGCACCCCACCTATTGCTAGAAAATGCATACCAGAGCAATCTGGTACCAGATATCGCCAATGTCTACATTTGTAGACGATTTGTACGCGTTTGGCTATCTACATCGCAAAGAATGTGTATACAGAAGGGGAAAATTGCTATGTACAACAGGAGAAGATAGTTCTGCACAATATATTGTATCGAGAATCTCTACAGCAGTGTGCAATTCGTCTATAGGTATTTCGGAAACATCTATCTTTGCTACAAACAAGCCTCAGTTTGTAGCAAAGATAGATGTTTCTGAAATACCTATAGACGAATTGCACACTGCTTTGCCAGATTTGGAAAGACAACTACTAGCACACGGCTATGGTTTGTATTCTATAGACTACACTAGGGACTTTTCGGGTACACTAGATAGAGAAGCTCTTGTCGAATATCTCTGCAAAGAACATGGTTTCCGAGAACAAGGCGACCTCGCAGCAGCTATGCAAGAAAATACCCCAACTATTCTCGCAAATACAGATAGCGTTGGAAAACACGTTTGTACATGGGTACACACCTACAGTGGCTATACAACAAGGACGAAGTTGTACAACAAAGTCCAATTTCGAAGCAGGAGAAATACGAGAACAACTTGGTGGACATATTGCAGACTATGTAGACTGTGCAAACAAACATTTGGGCAAGAAATTTATACACCCACAAGTAAAAGCTAGAGGCTGCACACATTTAGAAGTTTATTTGTATGCTTGCAAAGACGAATTGTGAGATACAGAAACAGAAGACTATTTGGTGGAAGATGCTCTACGGATCTTTTCCCAGCAAACAACCCTTTGTTTGTAGTACAACCACCCGCAAAACAATGAGAAAATCTTGCTAGTTGACTAGATCCTTGCTTTGTGCTAGCAGATTGCCCACAAGGAACTAAATTTGTAGCTTGGTATGCGAATACAACAACTGGAGGAATAGCTGGAGTACCAATTTGTCCAACAACTAAGTCTGTAGAAGACGACAGAAAATTGAATAGAGCTATACGATGGGCTACAGGAGATTTTGGTTTCCGAAACTGCCCAATATTCCAGGTAGAAATTCTATCTGCAAATGAAGAAGGTGTAGAACTAGGTCCTCTATGTTGCTATACAAAAGCAAAAGATACAAAAACTATCTTGTATGCATATATACAGCCCTACTCGTTCGCTACTGTCTTTCTCTGGGTTGTTTTCTGCTGTATTCGCATTTTCTTCTACATGACAAATGTCTCTTGGAATCCAGCAAGTTTCTCTTTCGAATTTGTCTACACGGCTTTCTACAAAGTCGTGGCAGTTGTCTAGCACTTTTGCAAGTTGCTTGTTCGACCAAACTGCACACACACACACACACACACACACACACACACACACACACACACACACACTGATCCTTGAGAAATTTCGAACATCAAGTTACTTGACTCTGACATTTGACCTTGAATGACCACCAACGGAAATATACTGTCTGAAATATATGACTTGAACCACTTCAAAGCTACATACATCTTCCCGAGGCAAGAGAGTTAACTGACTTTAAAAGTCCAGTTTCGACCCTTGCCGAACTAGGCTGGGCTTGATCCTAGCGCCACCAGTGCTATTACGAGTTATGTCCCTTCTAAGACGCTCCTAAAATGCATCAAATCACGTGAGCACCTTGATTAAAAACATGAAAAGATTTGGAAAATATCAGTTGAAATCGAGTTGCAGGTGCACATGCTTTGCAAATCCTGCAATCGACCGAAATCTGCACAACAGTTTACGAACCGGATTTTGTTGCGCGATTTTGATTGGACTATGCATAGACTCATTGGTCCAGCCAAAATGTAACTCCATAATACCAGCCTTGTTCGGCCTAAAATGTTGTTTGTAACAATAAGGTAACAGAACGAGTTTTTGTTAACTATCCAGGGTAATACCAGATATCAAAACTCATTCCTGGCACAAATGTAATAGAGGTTTTGTAAGAACGGGAATTCTGTCAACTGGAAGCATCTTTGTTATTATCTTATTAAAATGTTACAATCACAAACCACAGTACAGCAATGGCACCAGGTGCTTCCAAAACAGATGAAACAAATAACATGTAACATCTATGTTTCTGCATTGTTTGTTTTTCCATCTGTTTCAAATTTGGACATTTTCACAATCTCTTCTGATACTACAAATAAGCAGTATTTGTTTGCATATATCATCTTGAAAGACATCAAATATATGTGGTCTGTAAAGAAGATATAGATTATTATGTTTTGGATGCTGCTGCGGCCCACAAATGTGAAAATTCTTGATGTTTCATTGTAATCTTTTCCTGTTCTTTTGCATATTCTTGTTACATATTTTTTAAGTTTATGCATCTAATGTTGCAAATATTCCAGGGAAAATTCAGTTGAGCTGTAGAGCCTTGTTTTTTACTTGATTCTGAATAATTTTGACATGCATAATGTGAAATATTGTCTTAAATAACTGTAAAGGGATGACCAATGGTTGTTCTGTTTGTAGAATCATCATTAAATTTTTCATGTTAGACATTTTTATTACAGACACTCATATTGCTCGCAGTGGTCTTTATCTGGTGGATCCAGTGATCACATGTACATATTCTGCTAAAGGTCCTCCAGGGAGGAAGGATGTGTATGTTTCATACTTGAGGTGGAATGTTAAAGATAGAGACAGCAATACCTCAACAACGATACCTCTGTGTTTTCTTGTGTCCATGCAGATCACCACTGCAAGTGGTGACCTCTCACCTTGGAGACTGTTGGGAAAGGTAGGTCGGCTCCATAATCACATGGCCATTAGCCTTAGAAATTTGTTGCCCTGTGTGAAATAGAATTTGCTTTCAGATTTTGCCAAAGCATTTCTTTTTTGCGAAGATGAGTGAGCTTATGCTGTCAATAAGCACTTTACAAAACTGAATCTGCTATGGTATGTAGGTCAGAAACAGGGTTATGTGACATGTCAAATTCATTTGTCACATTATTCATAATAAAAGTTTTAAAATATAGTGAGTGAGTGAGTTGGGTTTAACGCCGCTTTTAACAGTATTCCAGTTATATCATGGATTGTCAGCTTTAGGTGGGAGGAAAGCCTGAAGTGATGCAGGTCTCAGATGTTTACCACTTTGGTGAAACCCACGAGCACGGGTATGATGCTGACAAACCTAGAAACATATTCGGGGCGAACCGGGATTTCGAACCCACAATCAAAGGTTTCTGGCATGCCCAAGGGATGCATGTCTGCACAGCGAATCAAAGCACTTTAGACGACTGGGCCAGCTGTGCCCCCTTAAAAATATAAGAAAGGATATCTTATCAGTGTAGCGGGCCTTAAACTGTCCAAGTCCTGTGATAGGATCTTCTGATTTGAGGTCTGATGCCTTGTCCAAATGACCAAAGAGTTTAAACCCATCAGCAAACTGACAAGATAAGGATTTCATCTGTGCAATGACTGCATACCCTGCTACATTCTCTCCCATCAACAGCAGGCACATCCCAGCATAATATTGACGATAGGCTACCTCTTCTGGTGAGGAAACAGTGTATTTATTGAATGCCTGATTGTCTTCTCTCATTGATGAATATTACTTAGTTAGTAAGGAAGCCTAACCCGATAGGCTAATAAACATGTGAAAGAAAGAAAGACCACACGGACACCAGTCTGGATACCGCTAGATAATGCCTACCTTTCTGCACATGCCATATATGTCAACCTGCTAGGAGTCTGATCTTGGCTTATCTAAACCAAGATGGACAAAGCTCAGACCTAGAAACCGAAAATTTCTTTTCTTCTAATTGAGACTTGACTCAGTCTAGTGGATGAAGAGTCCTTGCAATGGCACAAAAGCCTTCCATTTATGGAGCTTTAGTCAAGGTAGAATGAGCCTCAATGATGGTCTTTGCCACTCTTTTTGAGTACCCTTTAGCCACAAGGGACTTCTAGAGATGAACCAGAAGCATAGATGGAGGGTTTCCAGCGAGGGAGAAGGCATAGGCGTTGAGACTCTCCCACAATATGACCAGAGTCCCACGCCTCTTGAAATTGCAATTGGGTAGACGAATCTGGGCAGTTGCGTGTTGAATCTGAAACCCTGTTGACAGCTGCGCCTTCTGCCACGAAAAGAACTCATTCTAGCACTGATGAGAACATTCCGAACAAGTATTACCAGGTTTACAAACACCACGACGGTCACAGCATAACCCATGTGGATCCCAGGGTGAAAATATGACATGATTCTTGCAAGCTGGACGTTTAATCTGGTCTTCACCATAATGTTACAGGGAAGTACATGTGAATGCACTATCAGAAGTAATGGAAAAAAACAACTGTATTTTCTACATGATAAAACATCTCCACACGGAGGTGAAGAGAAAGGGAATGATGTGGCATAGGGTGTCAGGTGATCAGACCGCTTACATTAAGATGCATGGGATTGTAGTGAGTGACCCATTTGTTGGGTGATGACTTTGGTGATGTGAGGGGTGTTCAGGCAAATTGTTTTAGAAGCTGGAAACTTTGTCTTAGGATGTTTACACACAAGGATCGAAAGAAGAAGGAAGAAATATATTGTGTGAGATAGAATAAATATAATAATTGATATTAGGAGACAAATTAATATTCAAAAACATGACAAATTTGCCTTTACTGCTGTTGAAACAAAATTTAAGAATTTTAAACATATTTGCCCATCTTCAATTCATTCAAGAGAAAATATACACCTATAATATACACCCTAAAGCTTTGAAGCAGCACCGACTTCAGAGTCGCTGAAAACATGTCATGATCATTTCGAGTCAGTTGAAGGGACACAGAACAGTGCAAAGAAGATTGATAATGCCCTCTTAAATACATTAGAAAGAATTGCCCATTTAAATATTCAATCCATGCACACAGCCTACTTAAAAACTAAACTTAATAACTTTTTGAGTGAGTGAGTTAGTGAGTTGGGTTTAACACTGTTTTCAACAGTATGCCAGCTCGATGGGAGGCAAGCCTGATGTGAAGCGGGCCTTTGACGTTTATGACTTTATAAGTTGTGGCCACATTTATATGTAAATTTGACAGCTCTCTCTCTCTCTTTCTCTCTCTCTTTCTCTCTCTCTCTCTCTATCTCTCTCAAGCTGGTTTCCTCAGTCTCTCCTTCAGCTGATATATATTTAACATAATCATGTTTACACAATATGGTTGCAAGTGAAATCCATAACGTAGACTGCACGACCCATTAGGAGCCAAAGCAAGTCACCAGTCTGTATCTATAACTAATAATCCAAGTACCATTGATTAGAATCAGACACTTCTGGTTTGTTTTCCTCATCCTCATCACAACATGGGTCGAGCAACCAGTATCGTGGCAGTTAAGCCATTTTCCACGATTGTGTGCTTCACCATCGCAAGATCACCAAGGACAAAAGTGATATGCTGTAGAACATCAGTCTAAAGGTCTCTCATCTTCTGTTATTTTTTTCAGACAAACTTCAGCTTCATTCCTGCCACCAAACTCAGTGCAGGATTGCAGTTCCGCTTCAGTGTGACTGCTGTGGCAGAAAATGGCACCATAGATGTAACAAAGGTGACCCACTGGGCAGTCATGCCTCCAGGTAACATCAGACATAGTTAATGAATTCTGTGTTATGACTTAGTCTTTACACTTCTTTCAGCAAGATTCCCTCCATATCACCAAATGGGCTTCACACATTGCACCCATTATTGCCCAATGCTCTTCTCTGTTCAAGAGTATATCTGTGACCTGTTCCATGCAACAGGACCACATGTAAATGATACTGATGCCAAGGAAACTGCTCTTGAACTTTTTGAGCGCTAAATTTGAAGTTTTGAGGGTTTAAGCCATCAGACATCACTATTCCTAACCTTAATGTTAAGGAATGAAACAAACTTGCTTTTTTATTGTTATTTTGTGAAAACATGGAGAAAAGGTCCAAAAGTTAAAGGTTAAAATTTGGACACTCTCTCAAGATTTGTTCATGATACAGTTGTAAGATTTAAAGACAAAAACATTTGTCATTTATGTGAATATGGGTTTGGATTTTATCCTTTCATAGTCACTTGGGTATGGATTTAGCTGTTTGTGTATGAATATAGAGACTGTACAACATGTTTTTGGTCACAACTAAGACACTGACACATGTGATGATAAGTTCTTTATTGCTGACACAGTATTTTAATTTTAAAAACCAAATATGTGCATGTGGTTTTGATAACAATTATGACACATATATTCAATTTTAAGTGAAACTGTTTGGTATTGAATGAAAAAATGAAAAATCATACAAAATCAATCAACCACAAGCTGGTTACTAAGCGCCCTAATCATCTCAGCTTTAACATTGTGTAAGTCATATTTTATACAGTGCTACGGATTGCGAAATATGGTGATATTATAAAAGTGGTTACCGATCTTCTCAACCTTTTTCTGCCATATTGAACTTCATGCAAATTTTGGCGTTTTTTTTCTTATGCACTCATGTCACATACTCGTAACTATTTTAATATCGGACAGACAATTTGAAAAAGAAATCTGATCAGACTGCTCAGAAAGCTTTACTTGTCCCCACTGTAAGTTATTGACGTAAGAGTACAAATGTTTAGTCCACAATGGAAGGTTTTTGTTCAAGTAATGCATATGTTTATCGACTGTGTGTCATGGCAATTCAGCACAGTGCTAGAGATGAAACGACAGTGCAGATTGTCTTTCTGTTTATGATGTTGATTTACAGAAAATATTCAAATCAAAGATGTGGAAAGATAGCTATGATCGTTAATATTAAGGTTGTATTGTGTATATTTATGGGGAGGAAGTTCATGATCAAAACCTAAACATTGAATGTCCAAGCCCAAAGTGATCGACAGGGCACATTCACATCATATCTGTGCTGCTATTTCTTGTCTACCGGTTGTCTTACATGCTCGCCCGTCTAGACAAATAACTGCTACTTTTTTATATGAAATGACTAAGAGTCATGTGTTATTGCTCATACTACCTGATTGTGTGAATGACTTGCCCTAACTGTTTCACATTTTGTCACAAAAGGACATTTCAAAAGTATTGCCACGACATCTAACGTGAGACGACGCCATAGGACACAATTTTTTCAGTGTAAATGTGATTTCTTTTTTTGTTATATATAGTTTTATTTATGTTTTTTTTCACTCTGCATTATCTAAATTATGACATAGTACTAATTACTTTGCTTTGTATCCTTAGTATGAAATAGATTTTTAGTAAAATTAATATTTGTCTAAGAGGAAAATCAAAGCATTCTTGAGGTTCTTTTTTAACCATTTTAATTTGTATATCTTCCCTCCAAGCTGTAGTTTAGCTAGGCCAAAAGAAAAAAAGGAAAGACATAATAACTGAAAACCATTTATGTAAAAGATTTTGCTGGTTAAAATTTCGAAGTTCAATACCAAGAATATATTTTTCCTTTTATGACAAATAATTCCATTACTTTCATTGACCTACGATCATTATCTATTTCAAATTTTTCCTTCAGTAGAATCTGATGGAATGGGAAGCCACTGAAGTAAACTATCACATATGTCCTTGAATGTACATGTACATACCTAGGTGTAAATACACTTCTAAAATCGTGTTTATAAAACAATATGAAAGAAAAAGTTGTATTTCATGGACTGGCCATACAAGTATATTTTGAGCAAAGGTCTAAGTAAGACAGCCAAGTGAGGAATACTAGCTGAGACGAGGATGTATGTTTTCTAGTGATCAAAGTGAAAGTGAGTTTTGAGCACATGAACTGTATATACATTGAACTCTACTTTAATCAAAGTCATTCACATTTTCGTAATTTTCTCTTTCACTTAATCTAGATATTATTTATAATTGTACCGTAAAACAATAATACTGCCTTCTTTCACCTGTACTGTGCAAGTTATCGTTTCCTTGTATTAGATATAGCCTACTCTACTCTTCTTGAGCTTTCAAATTCAAGTATTAAAATTGTCCAATTACATCTCGTTTAAAGCTTTATATAAGTTAGATTTAAACCATTAACAACACATCATGATACCCGAAGTATCAATAATTGGTATGTGTGATTGCACAAAGAAGCAATGACATATAGCGTCCGAGTAGCGAGTGATCGAATATAGGTTTTTTTAATAGATTTGCTGCCCATGAAAATGTTTCAATGATTTTGATTGAATCTACATGTACTTACTCTTTGGTGGTATTACATTAGTATAATCTTGTTAGTTATTAAGAAATAATAATGATGTCTGTTATTGAGCGATGTCAATTTGAGTATTGTTACTACTGTTTAGCGAAGTGATATAGGTATATGAATCTGGCTCTAGTGGAAGTGGTCAAGAACTGCGTATAAGTTGAATCACATCATCACTTTGACATAAAAAATTCCCTCTGTAGTGATTCAACAATCGTCATGACTTTAAACTAAATTGTAATTAAAGAATTCTCTATTATTTTTACTCATACGCATACCATTATTTTGAACAAAGTGATATTCAACATTTTTACTAAGTTCTTCATTCATTTTACTAGGAGACCAGACTAAATACTCCTTTCTGAAATTGGAAAGAAATAATTGATGGTCGTATTTGGTTGGTTTGACATCATTGATATAATATATACCTTGTGGTAATTCTCTCCATCTGATAACTTTGCCCCTGAGCATAAATGCTTTGATAGCTTTTTCGAGTTCTTCCTTTGTAGGTTTGTAATACTCCATTATTATATTTTTATGTAAGCATTCGTTTTAATGTGATCCAACGATAGGAAGCAATCTATTTTTAATCTCCAACCAGTTCTTTGGTTTTGGCATGGAATAATTGACGAGCTTGTTGTCTCCCCTGTTCTATGAACTTTTTTTTCTCGTCTTTGCTAATACAACTGGTCTTACGAGAATTAGATCGAATCTCCTGCTTCATTGCGTTGTATTTTGTGAGTTCTGACAACTCTAAACGAAACTCCTCCTCGGATATCTTACAATCAGCCATTGCTGTTGAAATATGATCCTCAATGCTGTTCAACATTGCTTCGGCGAGTATCTGAATATTATCATGTTTTAATGCTTTCTTTTGCAACTTATGAGAAATAAATTTTATCGCTATTCCTGCCAGTCCTGAGACTCCGTCCGCTACTTCCATACCAAGTACGATAGGCGCGGCGATTATATTTGATAATAAACCAACACCGGCTACACTGAGTCCCTTGCCGGCTGCTACAAGCGCAGTGTCAACTCCGTCGAGAGCATTCGCAGCTCTGCGATACTTTTTATACAATCCAAGCCTAAACTCCCTCTCCTTCTCTATTTTGATGTTTTATATCACTTATTTGATGTAATCGAAATCCATCAACAGTATCCATCTTTTCAGATGCTTCATCGAGCGCCGGATATAAACCCATAACGTATATTATTATATCATATAATAGTCTTTAACTGATCTTGCTTAAATGTTTTGAAAGTATACATCAACCTTATTAAATGTATATTATACGGCATAAATATGTTAGTAAGAGAAATGCTATCACTGTTATTACCTTGGCCCCCCCTCAACGGTTGCAACAGGTGATGCTCCCATATAAATAATACTGCGACATTGACGTTGATGTTTCTTTAGCCATTTAATTGATAGACCTGGTAGTATTTCGAAGGCATCTACCGGTACATCACCAAACAAGACTTCAATAATAAGCGTAGAAAGATTAGGTATAGCACTCAAGTTCTGTTTTATATCATTGAATTCAGTAACCAAATTTAAATTAACATTTTTTACTGCCAGACGACTCAATAACATATGACCTGGGTTTTCTTGCAGGGGAGAGACTAACACACTTTTTCGTTTTGAGGGGATATAAGCCCTGAGTAAGGTCCCACTATTCATTATCTTAGTTAATTGATGTCCCTTACCCGTCATCACATATGGTGGGGCAATGACGATATTCAATAGCCACTCAATTTTTTCTTCGATCATAGTCCATTTATTATCATCGTTGCGAGTAAGATTGTATGAAGTGTTTTTATTGAGTCTACTAACGTCGACATCAATTTAAATCTCCTAGATTACCTGTGAATGCAACTTCTTTCCGCTTGTATACATTATCTTGTAAGTGTAAAGCGTATAACTTTCCATTGGTACCAGGTTTACCGAATCATTCTGTGTCTCCAAGATTGGAAAGTGCAATTGTATTACATTGTCTAAGGTTATGCGCTCAAGAACCAGATGAATCAACCATTATTTATAATATGGAGTGTTACATTCAAGTATCCCATGTGCACAGGTTGATGTTTTAAATCTAATACAGAAATTTTGAGATCTGAAATAATACCCCGTTTTAACTTTTTATATTGTAATGATGAGAAAGATTCCGTTCTACCGCTATTGTATTTTTCATCTTTGACTGGAATAGCTCTCAGCAGAGTTGAAGGACTTTCAAGTTGAATATTATCCGTTGTACTGATCTGATCAAGATGGATGCACAACTCTTTATAGGGAACTAAATCGGGTAATTTATCTCCATGCACTGTTTCGTTGGGTAGTATTATTGTTTTTCTTCTAAAAAATCCAAGTGTATCTGATAAGTACGCTTAAAATCAGCTTC